AATTACTCGTCAGGAAATCTATAAACTGACCCGAGAGTAGCACCATTGTACTCAGAAGGAGCAACCGAGTCGATTGGTAACACTTTCAAGACGGTTCTGAGGCTCAGTTTCGAAATCGGCTCCAAAAGGGTGTGATTTTGCTGTGAGTAAAATTGCTCATATAGGCGCGCGGGTCCCTCCCCGCTCGCCCGAAAAAAGTAACGCGAAAAAAAAATTTCCTCCACCTAGCGGTGTCCGAACATGCAACGGACTAGCCTACACTGCGTTAGCAAGACTCGCTCCGCCGGTATCGAACCCATGCCTCTCGGTGGAAAACTCGACGCTCGACCTTTAGGCGGGACAGCTTTTGTTAAGATTGAGTGTCGCGCAGCACCGATAGTTAGTGACTGTCTGAGACTCCATTCATATGAATTGCTCCTGAGTAGACTCTCTGTAGTCTGAGGCGCTTTCGCGCGTTACCGACTATAGCAGAGGAGGACTTGATCTGCGACCTAATGGGTCCATGCATATCACTGATGGGGTGACCTGTCATAAGTGAACCCATTGAAATTTGAGACTGGACCTTGCAATCTGGGACTTTAGATAAGAGAGGCCTGAGTAATAACCACTAGACTAATGCCTCCAATGATACTTTACTGTTCGTCAAGAGCCTCCAGGTTCTACTATGTTATGCAATGTTGACAGGCCTTAGTAAGGCCGTTGTATATCCTGTAGTAAGGCCGCCTTACTATAGGAGATACAGTGCCGAATAAGTTAGTGTGAACTTATTACAAATACTATATTCAGCGAAGTATCCTAATATCCATTATTCACACAACTACTAGAAATTACTCAACTCAGATTTGAACCTGGGTCACCAAAAGGAAATCCTGCAGACTAACCATCAAACGAAATCATCTATAAAAGTAAAGACACTCTAATGGACAAGTGATGATCAAACTTCCCACGTCTACTCATAGTTGGTTCACTGCCTGTCCGAAGCCCCAAGCACATTTTTCCTACTCACCATCATCACATTGACTCCTGTATCATTCAAGTCGACCACCTACTCCTCCTCATGAGACCTCCTCTCGAAAATATTCTTACCAGGATTCGAACCTGGGTTTGCCGAGTGCTCGCTCACCTACTCCACAGAATATATACGGATTCGCACATATTGGAGGAATTCCCAAAATTCAATGAAGCGAGATTTGAAGCCAGCTATACCAGTGGTAAAATTTCAGTCATGCCACGCATTCACTCCGAGTCCGAGAGTTTATTTCAAAATATACATCGGGCAAGATTCGAACGTAGTTCTTCTGGGTAATACTCTGTACTCTAGCTCTGTAGACCGATCCACTGTTCGATTGAGAAACTTTCCCCTAAGCTAAACCCTTATTCATCAATAAATTCACGTGGTATTCTGATAGAAAATGTACTATCAGTGAAAGTCAAGCAAAACTGCACCTCACAGGCTATGAGTCATAGCAGTGTCCGCATATGGCATGTGCTACCCAACATTATCTGCAAGTTTCGATCCTGAACGATTGGTGTAGCAGACTAGCGCTGTTTGGCGTGCATCGCCCTCTTTAATTAAAGGCTATCTTTAATTTCACAGTTAGTGACGTGCAACAACCCCAAACTATAAATTCTATATCACTATCACTACTGTGAATATCACTATTACTGCTATAAATATCACTATCACTACTATAAATATCACTAGCACTACTAGAAATATCACTATAAATCCTATGAATATCACTATCACTATTATGAACATCACTCTCACAACTATGAACATCACTATCACTACTGTGAATCTTACTATCACTATTATGAATACTATATGACTATCACTACTATAATTACTCTATTACCTTCACTGCTGTCAATACTATATTACTATCGCCACTATGGATAATATATCACTGTCACTACTACGAATCTTATGTCTCTATCACTACTATGGTAAATACCAGTATCATGAGTACTATATCATTATCACTGCTGTGAATACTTTATCTCTATTACTACTATGAATATTTCCATTCATGATTACTATACCACTATCACTACTACGAATGCTATATCGCTATCACTACTATAGATACTGTATCACTATGGATTATATCACTATGAATGTCGCTTCCACTGCAAAAAGTACTACATCAATATCACTACTGTAGAATCTACAGTGTAGATACTATATCACTATGAATTATATCGCTATGAATATCACTTCCACTACAGGTGGTACCACTCACTGGCAATATTTAGTACTCTGAACCATGAGTACTATATTGCTGTCGCTACTATAGTTGTCAAATCACTATAAATATCATTTCACCGCTATGAGTACTATATCACTATCATTACTATAGATACTATATCACTATGAATTACATCGATATGAATATCGCTTCCACTACTATGAGTACGATATCACTATCACTACTATGAATATCATTATTACTTCTATATATACTATATCGCTATCACTACTACAAATACTATATTACTATCGCTAATAAATGACCCATATAACTATGAATCATGTCACTATAAAGATCACATTTTCTACTATATCACTATCATTATGTCACTCATTTTGTCGCTTTCATTTCGTCACTATCATTCTCACTATCACTAACACTATTACGAATGTCACTATCACTACTACGGATATCATTATCACTACTATGAATGTCACTATCACTCACACGAGTATCACTATCAGTACTACGAATATCACTATCACTATGATGACTATCACTATCATTACTATAAATGCTATATCCCTATGCCTACTATAATTATCACTAACACTACTATGAACATCACTCTCACTACTATGAATATCACTATCACTACTATCGATATCACTATTACTACTATGGATATCATTATCACTACTATGACAATGACTATCACTGTTATAAATGTGATATCACTGTCAGGACTATAAATACCACTATTAGTAATATGAGTCTCACGATCACTACTATGAATATCACTAATTTAAATACCACTATCTTTACTAGGTGAAACACTATCGCTACTATGAATACCG